TGATAATCTTGGTGGTTATATCTAAAAAGCTGGGCTGAAGCACTCAGTTGCTGAAGGAAGAATAGTAGGAACTCATTTCTCACCCAAGGGCATGTCAAAGAGGTGGAAATTTAACGAAATTGTAGCTTCTTGAAAATCTAGATTAATATCTAGTGATCTACTTGGAAGAAGTTTTCATTGACAGTAAAAAATCTCATGCTGCCAAGAACAGCTTTTTGTTCAAGAGAAATGCTGGTTTTGTGGGAAGTGAAGGGAACTTTACTTTACTCAGCTATTCTGATCTTTTAAGTAAATATTTATTTATTTCTGCATAAAGTTATAAAGTTTCTTGGGAATACAGATAATGTAGCAGGAGGAAAAGTAATTACTGTAATTTTGCCTGTGCTTCCAGAAAATAATCCATCTGATAAGTACCCCATTTACATTTTGTGAATTGCACAGTTCAGCATAGATGCATGCTGTCCATGTTTATCAAATACTATGATTCTCCTGGTAACAGAAGTATTTGTCTTGGCCTTTTCGTTTTTCAAAGACCAGATGATTAAGTTGTCATTGACATTAAGCGTGCCTTGCATCCACTTCTCAAGGAATGATGTGGTCAGTGGTGGTCCCTGAGGGTTAGAAATCCAATGAAACAAAAAAGGAGAACCACAGCTCATGAGTACAGACACCAAACAGCTGCTCCTTCTTTTCACAGACCCAAAGTCCAAGGCCCAAGCCCCCTCTGCATCTCTGGGACAGGGATGCTACAAGCATCCAACCAGCTCTTTTCTGTTTTCTTCTTAGAGGTTTACTTTCTAGCAGAGAAAAACATCTGTCCCTTTGATTTTCTGGGGATAAATAAGAAGCCTCTGAAAGAAACCTCATTAATTCCCTGTGCTGCAGATGACATCAAATAAGACATTCTTTAGGAAGTGAAGTGACAGGCTGCAGGGGAGAGGGGAATGAGAGCTGACCTGGCAGCCATGCCTGCCAGGTAGCATGAGGACAGTCAGTTCCTATCAATGTGAATGAGGACTGAAGGCACTCAGCACCTTGCATGATTAAGCCCAAACCAAAAGCAGCCTTTCTCATCAAAATTGCACTGCCTTGCTCCTTCCCAAAAGGCACACTAATTTGGAAGACTGCTATCCTTGGCAGTTGTTTCCAACTGAGCTCTTTTGACCTCCCTCCCATCATTAGATGGGAGAGAGAGATGTGCGCACACCAGCTGAGATATTCAGGGCACTTCAGAGGCAGCCCAGGTCTACTTCCATTGGCCACACCACATCTTCTTTCCTATCGTCCCACCTCATTCAGCCTCAGCTGCATCTCCTTTTTCTGAGCAAAGCTTGGGAAAGGGACAGGCAGGTGCACGTCCATCACCTCTTGGTGTGTCATTCAAGTGTGGGCTCAGGGTTTGCAGAGATACCTGTGGGACCCCCATGTCACACACTGTCCAAACATGCAAATGAGAAAGGCAGGGTGCCACCTGCTTGCAAGGGTCTGAGGGCTCCTCTCTTTCTCCCCTCCTGAACTTTTCCCACCAAGCCTCAACTCAAGTGGAAGCTGAGCTATGTCTTATGTAGGATTCCAGCAGGAGAGGTGTTCATTACATTTAATTATTTTATGTGCAGGAATTTGTAGCTCTCAAACAGCATTCATGTAGCATACAGTAATAATTTTTTTCAGCAGAATACCTTCCCCTGTGTTTTTACACTTTCTGTCCTCTGTAGAGGAACATACAAAATATTTCTAGTGCATCAGGCTTGTTACACAGATTTTTCCTCACTGCCTATGTGCCAAAGCATTTCACAGTAAGATTTATGAGGCTGCGTACAGTGAAATGCAAGGAAAGCTGTTGCAGAATGACGCCACAGTGTGAGTGGGAGAGGGAAGGAGGAGTCAGTCATGAGACCAACAACTGAAGGAGAAATAAATTAAGAGTCATAAAACAAACTGCCATTCAAAACTCCCTTTCACAGCAAGGCCATTACTGAGGTTTCTGTTGGCTTCACAAAATGAGAATAATTGGGGAATGGTCCTGAGTATACATTTCAGTTCTTGTCCTGTGTGTCACAGTCACCCTCTTTCATTGTCTAGCTGCAAATATAGAGGAAAATACACTTGGCTCAGCAGCTCCACCTTTTAACATCTACCTCCTTCAAAATGTATTGAGAAACAGGGATCAGAAAAATGGTATTCTGCTAACATCTGTCGGGGGTTTTCCTCCTGGAGAGCCCCCGCTTCCTACTGCCTGAAATGCAGCTCAATATAACCGTGTAAAAACCGCTTTTTGTGATTTTTGGGTTTTTGCATTAATTGCACTTGCATGTAAAGAAACAACCCAAGTGGTGATTGCTTTGAGTGATGAAAGTATCAGCCAAAATATAAAAAAAAAACAGTCACTGGATAATAGAAATATATTTGCCATTAAGTCATTTCCAAACAAATGGAGCCTGCATTTGTTCAGTGGCCTTTAACCTTAGTCTTAGAACAGCTCTTGAGAAACTGAGCAAACAAAATTAAAGCTCACTTCTTTTGCTAGATTTCACAACGAATCTCTGCTCTGCCATGCTCAGCAAACAGAAAAACACCAGAAGGAAAACTCTGTAATAAAGGATAGATAATCTTCTTCCTCCTTTAGGAAAAGTGTCCTCTCTAGCTTCAACCTACTTACTTTTAACACACAGACCCACAGACACTGCCCTTGCTTCCCATGCATCCTCCCTACTCATGTCTAGGTTTGTGGACTCACCATCTTCCTTGGTTTATGAAAAACAACAGGCTCTGGTCCAAAAGCACTGTAGATGCCAGCAGTGCTGTGAAACCTTTATCTGTTTAATGCCTTACCCATGCCAGATACAACTAGAGTTCAAAAATTACATGTGATACTAGGATACTGGAGGTGAATATACAAATTGCATGTTGTCAAGATGAGTGAGGAAAATCTAGATCACTGAATCCAGTGCTAATTTGAATACGTCATCTGTCCCTCTGTCTGTGCCACATAGCAGAAATGTTTTAGGAGTGGTTTTCCATCCCCATATGTCCACAAATGTAAGGTATTCTTCAGCATTCAAGATCCTTATGCACCCTCTAACATAGTATCCAGACTTTTATCCATTTATTTAATACATTAAAATATAAAACCACTTGGATCTTGAAACAGATTACACACAAAATCTGATGCTGTATCCAATCAGCTTTCATGCCACTGCTGAAGCTGTCAGGAAGATGGTAATTTACTTGATTTTGAGTGTGCAAAATGTTAAAAGCTATTTGTGCTTGCATTCCTGTCAAAGCAGATGGAACCTCCTTCTTCCTATGAATTTTATTTAGCCCACCTCATTGCATAAACATCAATGTATTGCATGGATTATAATGTCCTTCCTATCCACCTGTGAGGGAAGAGCTCTCCTTTTGAGTGTGATATAACCTGACCTTTCCCAACAGCCATTGATTATGTTTTTGTCTTCCTTCAAATGTTCACATGTCTGCTGGTGCCTGTGTTCTGTCAGTTAACTAACTACTGTCTCTGTTGTTAATTTGGTGATCTGAGAATATTTAAATACTTATTGGCAATGGGAAAGTTGCAATATTTTTCCACCAAGAGTTTTATGATACCCATTTCCAGCAAGTAACTAGATCTCCCACAACCTTTACCAGCACCTGCTCACTGTATGCACAAAGCTGTTTTAACGTGTGCTCACAACTTCACTATCTTTGCAAGACAGTGTATCTAGAAGTCATGCCACACAAGGTAATTAGAAGTTTACAATGGGAATTTCACCCTGTTTCTAATCCAATACTGTCTATAGTACGTCAGTCTCTAAAAAGAAAACATAATTTTTTCCCTTTGTCTTTAGCTTGTCAAGTAGAGCAAGCATTTGAATTCAGAAAGCTGCTGCCTTTCCCCCTCATGCGCTACTTCTCTGGAGTCCTAAACCTTGCAAATAAAAAGCTAGTTTTCTTCTTCATCTGAACAGTTCTGTAGGAAAGGATAAGGATGTTAAAATTCACAAGATAACCATTTCATATCTGAGGCCTTGAAAAAAATGCAACATGGGGTCTGGAGAGCAGGGAAAAGAAGGCTCTGGAGAATGATATTTCCTAAAGATTCATCTTAGCAGTTGCAATTAACTTCCTCAATACCTTTTGGATAAAAGTTATCAGATAAGAGATCAAGAGAGAGAACATGATTTAGCTCTAGCAAGTCTCGATTTACAATCTGTCTTCCCTGATCTGAGCTCATTTTGTGCAACTCCTGTGTCATGTTCCTCTCTTGCAGAGATGGAAGAAAGAGTTTAAGTCAAAATAGATAAGTGTAGAGCCCCCAGAAGCCAGAATGAAATGTCTCTTAATGGCACTTTTATGGCACTCCCAGGATATCACTGTATCCTACAAGGATATTATGAGGGGAATTTCATCTCCTTTACTTGAAAAAGCTTTGGTGACATTCCGGAAAAAAATGCATAATTCAGCAATTTAAAATAGCTAAAATATTTGGTTCAAGTTTCCTGGATTTCAACCCTGCCTGAGAAAAAAAGTATGCAGGAAGGGAGGTGCAGAAGAAAAGGGAGAGAAATAGAAATAACCCTCTCTCTCCTTTTGCTCTCTTCTCCCACCTCTCCCTGACTGATTTGAAATCAACCTGCAGGGCGAGGGGGAGGATGCTGCTGCTGAAGAGTGCTCTTTGCCAGGCTTCTCTGTGGAGAGGTCTGATTTTCATGAGCATGAACAGGAGACCTCTCCCTGATCATGTTTACAGGACTGGATTATTAATGGCTGTATTTCCATCCTTTTAATTACTTTCTCTTTTGGTGATGTCCTTTTCAGTCTTACAGCAGTTAATGCACACCCAGTACATATTAAGTAATGAAAAGGCACAATAAAGGCACACAACTGCTGTTTATACCCAAGGACTTAAAACTAGTAACAAGGGAGGTTAATGTTATTCTTGGGAGATAACACTCGTTGCTATGGTGAAGTTCTGTCACTCACTCTTGGGAAGATGGTACCTGAGCCATGAATGTCTGATGGCATTTTTGCTTTTGAGATGAGCAGTAGTAATTACTCCAAAGCAGATTCTAACCCTTCTGATTCTGAGCAGACTTCTCATGTAGGTGCTTTGTATTTGAACAGGCTCTTGTCTGCCCTCTCGGTGGGCTCAGCGTGCTGGCATTGATTGGGTTTTTTGAACACCTGAAGAAACAATGGAAAACAGTAAGAGCTGGTGTCAGATGATAAAAATAGTCTCACATAAAAATCCCAAAACTACCAGGAGACTTAATTATTTTCTGTTGTTTATTTGGCATTACAGTTTGCATCATATTCTGAGGATCCTTCAGCTTTTTAAAATATATAAAATTTCATTAGGCCTGATCTGCTGATCACAACTTCATGATCTGCACTTCCTACTAAAATTTATTCAGGCAATAATCCACAAGAAATTGGTTGTTTTCAGCAGTTTATGACTTGTTATTTAACATTTAACAGAATGGCAATTTATTTTGGTAACAACCAATACTGAGAGGTTTATTGCCATTGTAAACCATAATCAACTGTTTGTATCATTACCACTTTTTCAAGATATAAAAATGGCCAGCTGCATTGGAAAGTTGCTTAGCAGCTATAAAAATTTGCACTGAAGATTATGTATGGGGTTATTTCACCTTAAAGGTCAAATGTCTTTAGAGAAACCACTTCCTTCAGTGGGCATTTTCAGCAGACTGGTAAAACCCAATCCCAGAAGGACAACACTGAAGTTATTCCCAGTAATTTTTTCAATTATGAATATAAGAAAGGAATCTGTAGGAGATGGACAATACAGAAGGTTTCACTTTCTTTATCACAGCATCAGGCCAGAAACTAAATCTTGTTGTCTTTATTATAGATGTTGCAACTGTTTTGCTGAATTGTACTGAACTCTTCAAATGGCTTAATCATCAAGGCTTCTCATTGATCTCTTAGTGTCAGGCAACTGGACACAGATTTCATAACTGACATGTTTAGAAAGACTGAAAATACTTCCATTTTGAATGGATGAAGTTACAAACGAGATCACAAGTTTTACAACAGCGTATCTGTTCTTCATCTTAAACCATTATACCAAGCTAAATCTCAGTGAATAGTTAACAGTGAATAATTCAAGTCTACAAATTACTTTCTATTAGTGGTCTCAAAAATACATTTACAAACAATCTGCAATTTCCTTTTTTCCTACTTATTTTGCTGATATCATTTTTTACTCTGCAGCTGCAGTACCAGTTACTGCAGAATACTTGAGCTGAGTTTAAGCACAAGACCTGTGCTGACACTTCCACTGTGTCAGTGGTTAAGCACATTTGCACAGTTCATGCAAATGTTCATGTGGGAATAAAACCAATTTTTTCCTCTTAACACTTGTGCCTAGCCCAAAAGTTCATTCTTCTAATCTATTTGTGCTACTAAAACTTTCACTAAGGAAAGCCACTCTCAGAGATGAAAAACATCCATTTAAACCTTTGAGCAGGTAAGAGCAGGTTTGGGTTTTTTTTTTTCCTTTAGATTTATGTTTAGTAGTATTCATTCAACTCTTTAATGTTGATTGGAATTTCTGGTAGAAAGCTTTAATTCATTCTTTCCTCCAATTTTCAAACATCATGAAGCAAGTTAATCCCTGCTATAACTCCAGGGAATTTGAGGATATTATGGCAGAGATTACTTTGGCACTGCATTTCTTGTTTAAAGTGCTTACCTGCTCACATACACTTTTTAAACATGAAGAGTGATGACTGCTGAATTTCATTATTCATATTCAAATGATGTGAAATATAGGAAATGCCATGGCTTCGATTCTCCGATAACTTTTTGAGTTCCACCTCCTGCAACTTGGAGCAGGTTATTAGGATTGCCAGAAAAATACAGCTGTTGCTACTCCACTTTGCTGGAAATAGAAGTGTTCTGAACCTCCACAAAGGTGTCCAGCAGGCTGCTAAAGAAAAGAAAACTGAGGAGATATTCTCCTTGGAAGCACAGACCACCATGTCAATCACCTTAGAAGAAAGAAGATAATTTCTTTTTAAAAGAAAAATAAAAATAACAACATACACTTCTTTTTTTACTCATTCACAAGCCTAGAAATAATACATGACATGAAGGAAACTGAAACAAAGTCCTCAGGAAAAAAATCCACAAACTCATATCCACTGCCTCATCATATACAGCCTGTCTTTCATGCTGTTAAAAATTCTCTTCAGCCCTAGGCATTAGTAGAAAAACTGCAGCAATGAGGATCAGGCTATCTTGCCTGCCAGTCAGAGGCATTAGCAATTTGCTGGTTGCAGAAAAACTAAAAATAAAAGGAGTATTTCATAAAGCAACAAAAGCAAGGCAGCCTCATTTCTACCAGGCTGCCTTGGTATAGCTATGGGCTACCAGGCGTCAGATATGAAGGGCATTTATACCTGTTCAGTGCTTTTCCTCAAGTGCAAGCAGGGATACAAAAGCAGGCACAAAGGTCAGTGGAAAAAAACCCCTGTATTCTTCAGTTTACGTTTACTGACTGTAGTAACTTGCTATCAGAATCATTAGCAACTGACTGTAGTAACTTGCTATCAGAATCATTAGTTCCTCTGGACACAGCAGAGGAAAATGTGAATCAGAGGGTGGCTTTTCCAGGCACAGATGAGTTATTTAATTGAAACAGTGCCTTTGTCTTTTATGAAATCATTTTCCCCTACACATTTTTATGAAACACCGTGTCATTCAAAAATTTTAAAGCATTTATGTTCATTCTTTCTGCTGCATTTTGGGAAATAGTATTGTCTCCCCCAAGCTCTCAACTCCAGCCCTTTTGTAAGGTGTAAGCCATCACTTATTATGGCTTTTCTTCTTTGGTCTGGAATCACACAGCATAGACATTGGTATCATTAATAGCTTTAGAGTTATGATATTTTCAGTTTTTCAGATTGTGCTGTAAAAGACTAGGCTTGCATATTTATTAAAGGCTATTGGTGACAAGCTTGTAGTAGACTCACTTTCAGGGCTGTAATGTCATTTGCTTATGAGTTCAGCATCCTCACCCAGGGACATCCCAAACCAGGAGCTCGCCAGGCACATCTCAGGCTCGCCAAGGACATCTCAGCACTCTGCTTTTTCTTGTCATCCATGGACAGGCCTTTAAAAGAGGACTTTTCACAATATAGAATCAACTTGGGAGTGCTTCCCACCTGCACTCTCAATCCAACAAAACACGGGTGTTTTTTCAACAAAGCTTCAAGCTAACCTGAGTAAAGAGGTCAACTTTCCCATGCACTGGCTGTTCAGCAGCTAATGCTGAAGCAGCACAAGCTGATTTATATTCTGTAGGGTCACTTAAACCCTCAAGTGTTAAGCTAAAGTGTCAGGCAGGTCCCCATGGGGCAAATCTCTGCAGCTCTTGGAGATAGAAAGAGCTCTGGAGTACTGTTTCTTAGGAGAGTTCCATCCCTCACTAGAATTAGTTTTGTATTATGGATTTCTTCCTTCCTCACGGAATATGAAGGGCTAATTAGAAATAGTTATCACTGCTGACATTCAAAGCATTATTAGAATAGCAGCCCACTAAAAAAAAAAAAAAAGAAAATTCATTCTCTTGTAGGAGATCCTGATAATTCAGGTGTTGTTAGACTCCAATGGGGTCACTTCTAAAGCTTTTCTTAGCTTCAGGTCCAGCAATCTGGTTTTAATAGCAAACCAGTGAGACTGGAGTACAACTGATTCCCTCTGAACCTCTGGGTTGGTTGCTTTTTGCATTTGTTTTGGGTTGTTTGGGTGTTTTGGGGTGTGGGGGGAAGGAGGGGGAGGAGGGGGAAGCTGTTTAAATGAGTAGAAAAGGCCCAGGCAAGCTTCTGTGTTTCAAAACCTAAGCCCTCACCTGCTGCTGTGTTAACATCTGCAAAGGTTTTTCATTTGCATTGGTTATACGGATTCTGTAAGGTGCTATCTGTTTTGTCACAGAATTTCAGTAAGTATAAATTTCAGCATAAGTAAATCCATTCCTCTGGTGAGGAGAGGACACAAGAGGAGAAGATTTGGACTCACTGATCCTTGTGGGTCCCCTCTAACTCAGGATAGTCTGTGGCCCCCTTCTGTAATTCCGTAGGCAAGACAAACCTGAAGCACATGGAGGATGCTTGTGTGTGCCTGCCATAAGCAGGTCTAAAAGTGCCACTGCCAAAGGCAGCTCATCTCCAGCACCTCTGTGTGCACCTCTGCACTCACATCAGGGCAAGACAGAGAGTGTGCAGGACAGCTGATGTCATTCCAATTCATTGAAATTACAGCCCCATCACAAGCACTGCTGCAAGAAGGAATCACGTGCAAGCCACAGGGGCCTTCCGTGGTAACACGCTTTTAAGCTGGTAAAAGCAGGTCACTCTGCTGGCACCTACACCCACAAAAAACCTGAGAGACTCTCAGTCATTTAGGAAGATGTGCAGCATTTTCATTCTGTCTTCAGACTTTGATAGAGCCAAAATAGCCTACCTTCACACCTTTTAAACCATATTCCTTTGGGGGGATGGGAGGATATGTGCTGCTGAGGGGAAGAACAAAACTTTTGTATGTATGTATTTAGTATTCAGCAGCTGATGGTACTTCATATTATAATAATATAATATAATATATATTAAAATATATCATATAGAATATTACTCAGCTTGCTAACCAACTTTACATATGTAACTTCAGTGCTTAGCAGAAGATAGACTCACAAGTTTGAGAAAGGGGAAAAAAAACCCAACCCTAAATCACATTTAGAGATTCTGGACAGATTTCAGGATCAAAATGGAAACAAGAAAAAAGTTTCCAGCAGTTTAGGAGAGAAAAAAAATTCCTCTGCGTGTCACTGAAAAAGGTTTGTAATGTCTAGAGAAGTCTTCACTGCAGTGTAATCCTTCCTTCCATCCCCCCAAACAGTTTTCAGTTATCTGCTCTGTTCATGATTGCCTTTATATTGTCATTGACGTTGTGTTGCATTAAGTCAGTCTCTAATATTAGATGCAATTATGATACGTGACATTGAAATTGTGCTTAAAGTAAGATTCCACTAGAAGGAGTCACCTTAGATCTATGTCTTTGTAAGGCTCTTTATTGCTTTTGTGATTGTGCTATCAAGTATTCTTTGTATACAAGTACCAAGGTGCTAACAGCAAGATCCAAAACAGATAAAAGGAGCCAGACATTTGAGTAACTTAATTATGATGTCTGCAGTCAGACTTGTACTCTAGAAACATCTTCCCAGCTGTTCCTTCACCTCAGATTTGGGAAGTACTGCAGCTGTATTTTTTTCTTGATTTCACCTCTGGTTTCTCAGGACTATGCCATGCCTCTAGCACTGCACAGTGCTAGAATTAAGTTTATTAGTGCTAATAGCCTCTATGCCCAGACAACAAGAAACTAGGAAATTAGATTAGCCATGGATGGTGTTGGAGCCAAAGTGACTCTTGATCCCCCACTGGACATACTGGCACACTGTCAGGTCCAGTGGAAATTAAGAGTTTAAAATATTTTGTGGATTTACCTCAGTATTTTCAGTTATATTTCTTTTTACCCTAGACTTAGAAAACTGGACCACAATCTGATCTTTTTATCTCAATCATCATATTCCAAAAGCTTCTGTGTTGTATTATGCCATGAATCACACTGACTTGTGCCTTCTGTCTTGTTAGAATGCCTGTAACAGCAGCTCATCAGTGGCAACACACAAGTGTAACTCGCTGGCAATTAACTCCACTAGGAGTAAGATCCAGCTACTTCACAGTTAAAATCAAGACAGCAATAGGGTCAACAGCAAAAACCAAACTTAGAAGGAGAAGGAAAAAAACCAACAAAAATAAGATGTGACAAGTGCTTATTTACGTAGTCATTTTTCAGGAGCTGAGCTGCACTTCAAAACATAAATGCATTGTACCTTTAGTAAAACCTTCCTCCTGAATAGCTAATAAGTTATATTTAAGTGCTTGCACCAATGAACTGACTTACTTTAGTTACTGTGAAATCATTTTTATTATCTTTCTGTCCAAAAAAGTTGGAGGTAGCTAAAATCATTTTGGTGCACCTCCTGCAAGATTATGAATTATTGAAGAATGGAGCTAGAGTGGTTGCATGAAGAAAAAGACAGGTAGTGAGGGCACTTTCAGAGTTATTGAGAAGATGGCTTGAAGGGAAGGCAGGAGCCCTGAAAATATCTGCAGGATTGTATCTTAATGGTGGAAAAGACCAAAGCTAACTTGCCAAACACTGAATTTTGTTTAATAGCAACATATGGAGATGACAACTGAGCACATAAGGAAGCTGAAGATGTTGCTTTGTGGCACAGGTCCTGGATCCCAGCTTGCTTTGCCAAGTATTTAAGGCCCCTGCTGAAAGGGTGTGCTGTTGAGAATGATGTGGACTGGTGGTTAAATAATACATCAGGATCAGAAGAAACACAACAAATCTGAGCTTGCAAAGAACTTTTTTTATCTCAAATGGGATTTACACTGCTTCTTTCCCAGCTGCGAGTAAAACAAACCTAACTGGGAATCTGGCAGTCCTCTACTTCATTCAAGAAACCTGACCTGCTGTCAGTAACTCAGCACTCAGATCTTTAAGCCTGTCTTAGGTGATCAATTTGTCCCCTGCAGCGGTTCCTTCCACAGAAACTCTCACTGACGCCAGCGCGGGAAGCACTCAACAATTATGGGCTGGCCCACTGTCCAACATGGTAGCTAGGTGCTGATTTCAGGAGGTATTTCTGTCTGTTTGCACCACTGGCAGTTGTACAAGGCAGAACATCTTTGTTCTTCGCCCAGTGCAGACTAGGCAGCTTCCCATCACCCAGTATTAAGAACAAAGGACTGACTGGACCAGCAGCACCAAGACTGGACCCAGAGTCCCCATATGCATTGGCTCCAGGAGAGAGAGTGCTATTAAAATACATTTATTTTGTATTGTGCAGCTCTCAATACTATTTTAAATATGATTCTAAGTTCATCTGTACTTCAGACTTTATAAAAGGCAAGCAAACAAAAGCCATGCATAGAACTACTGCAGGATACTTCCCTGAATGCGACTCCTTTGTTATTATAGCTCTGCCATCTATCCTCCCCACTGGATCTCATTGCATTGGACAATTCAGGTTAGGAGGGACTTCAGGAGGTCCTTGGTCTTACCTGCTGCTCCAAGCAAGGCCACATGGAGGGTCAGAACAGAGAATCTTGAAGAACTCCCAAGGAAGGAGAATGCACAACCTCTCTGGGCAACCTGTGGCACCGCGGGATTGTGGGGTGAAAGAGTATTACTTATGTCCAACCACTACCTCCCTTTTCAACTTGTGCCCCTTTTGTCTCAACCTCCCACCACACAGGACTCTGGAGAGCCTGGAACCATGTTCTTTATGTGACCTTATGATGCTGAAGGGCTGCTCTGAGGTCCCCCAGCAGGTCCCCCCACTTTCTTCAAGGTGAACAAGGCCTACTCCCTCAGCCCCTCCTCACAGGGAAGTGCTCCAGCCCCCAGACACTGGGGTGGCCTTTGCTGGACCTGCTGTGGTTGGCCAATGTCTATCCTGCTCAGAGGTCTCCAGACTGCATGCCACAGCACAGCGTGGTTGGCTGAGAAGAGCTGTTTCTGCTGATCTGGTGACCAAGCTCTCATTCACAGAGCTGGCAGGCTGCTGTCCCTCTCGGCTGCCAGGGCATGCCACCAGCTCTTGTTCTTGCTGTGCCCCAGGCCCCTTTCAGCAGAATCGCTCCCTAGCCTGGCATTCCCCAGTCTCTAGAATTTCGAGGGGTACTTACTTCCCAGGCACCTGGTTCTGCACCCATCCTTGTGGAATTTCATTAAGGGTTCCTGCCACCCTGTTCCTGCAGCCTCTTCAGGTTCCCCTGAACGTCAGCTCTTCACTGTAAAAAGTGGTTCACATTGTTTGGCATCATTGGTAAACTTGATGAGAGAGCTCAGCCTCCTTCTCCAGGTCACTGAAAAGTTTGTTGAACAGGAAAAGACCCAGGACAAAACAGCTTTCCTAGAGAGTAAGCCCCTTAACCACTTGTATCTGGTCCCAGTCATGCCAACAACTTCCTGAGGTCACTAGAATTTTGTTTCTTTCATTATATTACAGAATCACAGAATGGTTTGGGTTGAAATGGACATTAAAGATCTAGTCCAACCCCTCTGCCATAGGCAGGGACACCTTCCACTAGACCAGGTTGCTCAGCCCCCAACCCAGCCTGGCGTTGAACACTTCCAAGGATGGGGCATCCACAACTTCTCTGTGAAACTTGTACCTCGCTACCCTTATAGTGAAGAATTTATTCCTAACATTGTATTAGTCAAATTATATTCACTGGAATGTTCAGGACCTCTAGGATTTCTCAGAATTCCTTGCAGCATAAACTGTTCAGTCACCTGTCAGATGTAAGGAACACCCAAGTTCACACACCAAGAACAAATCCAACAGTCAGGAGAAATCACTGTATTCAGAACCATGCTTTATGTAATATTTACATCATACAGTAATTTTGGAGAACTTTGCCACTATTTAAAACTAGAGTTTATTAGATGCAATATTTGCTTTATTAAAAAATCCAGCTAATTAACCTCTTCTTGTATAAGCTAGTATATAAATAAGAAAATTGCAATAGCAAAGTAGAGGTGTTTCAATGTCACATGAAGCTGTAGAGCAATTACTGTGTTCCATAACTCTTGAAAAATCTCAAGAATGTTAATCTGATGATGTTACCATTGTCAAAATGATATTTCTCACTGTAAGTATAGTTTTGTCATTTCCTAATAATAAAGGAAGTTGGTGTAGCATTAACTAGGCTGACAATTCAAGTATTAATGAGTATCCATGGTTCATTGACCACTAACAATGAGTAAGACATCAAATGACAATTTAGAATTCCCTCCCTCCTACTCAATGTCCCAGAGTAAAATACAAAAGCATATTTTAAATGTAGGTTAAATTGTAATAATTTGCAAATAGAAAAAAATTTTTGGGCAACATCCCAAAAAGCTGACATTTCTTATTTTTTGCCTCATTTAAAAAAAGTTGGGTACAAGGATCTTGTGCAAATACAGTATGATGACATAAGAACACTATTTCTTTAAAAGACTTGTAACTACACAGTATGTATCCATACCAGAGCAACACTGAGAATAAACTCAATAAAACACAGAAATTGGAGACATTTGGGTGGTGTGCTTTGATTTTCTTTTTTAATTTGGCTTCCTATTTATACACATAATTAAATTAAGACCTCTAATTTACTTTGGCATTATTTTTGCTGTCTTGATATGATTTGGAAAATTTAGTAAACAACAACAAAAAAACCCCAAAAAACAGGAGAAGTATTCTTTTTTAAAGGTGTGCCCCAGTACATACGCAAAGTTCCAAAGAGGATCCAGAAAAGTTCTGTGTGTGTGTATACACATGTGTGTGCTTATACATACATGTACATACAACCTGCTGCTTGAGAGCAATTGCTGAAATGACGAAATTCAGAAGTCCCAAGATTGTGCTGGTGATGATACAAATTCATTAATATGTCTTTGCAATCTACACACAAAAACATGCTGCTTATGACCCAAGGAAAACAATCATTTTGTCATAATTTAACTAAAAATTCTGGGAAGTTTAGCTGGCCATTTAGTGCCAGTCTATCATGCTGCTTGCCAAAGTCAGACTAGCATACAGAAGCTCATAGAAGAGTCTGAATGAAAGGAAAAATCCTAAAGACCAACCTGTGGGAAGCGAGTCTCCTAAGAAGTCAAGCTGGTGAACTTCCTTAAGTTGTTTAGACACAGTTTCGGAGTTTGAAGCTGACCTGAGCTCAGTACTCGGGAATCTTGCAGCCTTTATGAGCCTTACATTTTGCAGCAAGGCACAGCTGCAGCAGGAAGCAGAGCAAGTGCTATCACCTCCTCAGCCCAGCTTCATCACTAGCCTCACCTAAGTAGCAGGTCAGATATTTTGATTTTCACACCCAGGCTGATGAGGCAACCTACAACCAGAGATAACAAATCAGGCTTTGTAGGGAACAGACACCTAATCTGTTGGTTTAAGGATGAGAAAAGTGTTGAACTGAGCAAAGTTCTTGCAAGAAAATAATTTTACGCCTATGCAGAAGCAAAACTCCAAGCACACAGGACAGTAAATTTTTACCTGTAAAACTACCTAAGATCAGGCAAAGGTTGTGAACTGTGTCTAAATTTTATCGCAGTCCCATCCTAAGCCAGGAAAGGTTTTGCAAATTGCACTCATGCACAGGCAGATAACCAGATTCCACTGGGTGTTTCTGCAGACCTAACCCTAACTCTGCTGTATGAAGGGTAAAGAATGAAATACTAGGTAAAACACCCATGGACTAAGAGCAAAAACCAGGCAAGATGAGCAAGCCTCGCTTCATTAAATAAACTGGGAATCACCCACAGCAATGCCATATAAATGCATTCAGTCCTGCCTGATTTTTGAAGCTGTAGAGGATATCTGGGACTGGTTATCATCCAAGTAGAAAAACACCTGGGAATTCCCAAGCTAAGAAGTTACAGATGAACATTTTCTGAACATTAAAGCAACACAAGAAAAATGAGTCTGTTTGTACTACAGATGGACAGAAATTGCACCAGAATAAATCAACTTCTATGTACTTTTCTTACACAAAAAACATTTACCCATCTGACAAGTAAAGAAAATAGTCTCAAGAGGCTGAATATTTTTAAGGTTAAATTACCAGGCTATGTTTTTAAAAATAGTAGCATCCTGTTCTTCCTAGCCCAGTTGAGCATCAATCCAGGTGCTATTTTGCAAGGCAGTCTCCAAAGACATTCCTCAGCCTGCCATGCTGACTATCAGCAACAACAAATTGAGCGGCACTTCCATGATTTGCCTTTCCCTGTCCTATATTCATCTTTCTAAGCATTACTTAGTAGGTAAAGCAAGCTGTGCAAGTAAACAGACAAGAAAAAAAAATGTTATCGTATATGTGATGTTTTCACAACTGCTCTTTATTAGCTTCATACATTTTACAGCATTTTCCAGAGACAGGACGAGCCAGTTAAACTGCTGATTTTTTTGTTAATTTATCAAATTTGTTAACTAGTCAATAGTCTGCTCTGAAAAAAAAATGGAGAAAGGAGAACTAGAACTCAGTTTTATTTATTTTTGTTAAGGACAATCTCTCATAACTGAAAGGCAGAAATAAGTGCTTCATCCAAAATAATTAGATACGAATAATTGTATCAGTAAGGAAATGACTGACAATAGGATCTCAAAGAAAAAACAAACCCTCTACTTCTTACAAAGACATACAAAGTCCATTTCTAAGAACAGAGCAAGAAGACATCTTTAATGCCTTTGTTTTAACTGATACTTTAGAACAGCTCTCTGCAACTCATTTTACTCAGGAAAAATAAGGCGGCTATATGAAAACAATAGCTAGTCAGCTCAAAATCATTAAGCAGAATGTTTTTACCACCTACCCTTCACATAAATTTTGATTTTTCACAATGATTCATATCACAGACTCCACTTGAGAAAATTAGGAACACCACCATTTCAACTGTCTCCTCCCAAAATGAAAACTGTCATGATTCTTTCTATTTTTTGCCAATACGGACTGTTATATCAGTGAAAAGAATTATTTAACCCTAAATATGCATTAACTGATGGCTACTCCTTTAACAAGATCCAATTAAAGCTACTGCATAGGAATCAATCATTTTCATTCAAGTTTCTTGTGTTAGATCACTATGATGCAATTGTAGTACCTGTACAGCGTACGCTATTCAAGGGCAGGCTTCTCCTGGCAGTCTTTTTTGCTTTATCCAGTAAAATTGTGCCATATGTCTTGCCACTCTAATTGCAACAAAGTCTCTAAAGTACTTAGAATTAGTATTTTCTTTTAAGATCAGTTTGGAATTTTTCATCTCCCTTTAATGAAAGTAAGAGAATTGTGACAAAGTGTGAGGAACCTGATAAAAAATAATACCTCTTTTTGATTCCTTTCATGGAAAAATCCACATAACCTGAACATCCACTGCTGGATGAACTACAAATGCATGTTGTGGTGAATAAATAATTAAAGCATCCAACCTCATAGTAACTGCTCTTAGCCACTTACCTCTGGGTAAATAACCTAGAAAATGGAATATGTAAATTTTGTATTTGTATCACATCAGTAAGCTGTTTGTTGTACCTCTAATGATTTGAGTTTGAATGGACACTAGAATTTTTTTCAGTCTTATACTGAAT